AATCAGGCCTTCTGTCTCCTTCCTCAGGGTTCCATTCATGAGCCATAACCAGGTCTTCTCCCTGTCAACTTTTCCTTCAATTTTGTCAAGTAACTGGCCATGCAATGCTTTGTTGTGCCAGCTGTCAGCTCTGGTTTGGAGTGCAGTTTTCTTGTACTGGTTCTTTGTCTGCTGTGCTTTGAGAAGTTTCCGAATATTGACTTCAATTAAAGCAGGTTCTTGGCATTCCTTGACATATTCTGCCAGGGCGTGTTCTTCTTCTTCGACTGCTTGTTTGAGTAGTAAGAGTCCTCTGCCACCAGACTTTCTAGGCAGATAGAGCCAGTCAACATCACTGCGAGGGTGTAATGAATTATGAATGGTCATAAGTTTTGTTTTTCTGTCCAAATTGTCCAGTTCTGCCTGTGTCCAGTTTATGATGCCAGCAGTATATCTTATGACAGGTATGGCCCAGGTGTTTATGGCCTTGATGGTATTGCCTCCGTTGAGCTTGCTTTTGAGAATTTTTCTGACCCTTTGAAAGTATTCTTTGCTGACCAGTTTTCATATGTTCATGTTTGATGTTGTCCAGCTGTAGTATGCCCAGACATTTATAGGCCTCTGTCTGGTGACACTTTATCGCTTTGCATTGGCCATATTTATGCCCTCACTTTCAATGATTTTTCCCTTCTTCAGTGCCACTTTATTATATGTAATATAATATAATATGATATAATTATTATATGAAGAATTCAGGTTTTAAATTGTAATTTATGCTATGTTGAGGGTTGTAAGCCACTTTCAGTTAAGAGAAGGAAGCAAGATATTAATAATAATAGCCTGAATTCCCATGCCTTTACTGAAATTGAAAGGAACGACTTAACCATTATTAACTTTGTGATCTTTCGTTGGCTTTTGTAAATCAATATGGATGTTTTATGTTGATTTTATGTCATTATATATTTTTTGTTGGATTACATTTTGTTGTTTAGCGATGTTAGGTTCTAATGTTGTTTTCATATGTGGGGTTTTTCTGGGATTGTTATGCCAGTACTTGTTTGTTCTATGGTGGCATTGAATGTTTGCCTTTGTATGTAGGAATTTGCCCCGAGTCTCCCCTGGGGAGGTAGAGTGGAATATAAATAAAGTTTTATTATATTATTTATTATAAGAGAATAAAGTGGGATAATAACAATAATTAGTCCCCAGGTCTAAAAATAAAGACTTACCAATGTATTATTAATAATAATAATCTTCATAATTATTATTATCAACTGTCTAGGTCTTCAATTGTAATTTGTACAATTTTTAGTATTGTGAGTTGCTTTCAATTAAGAGAAGAAATCAGGAGATTAATAATAATGATGATAATAATAATAATAATAACTGAAACCCAAGGCCTCAATTGGGAGTGACAGAAGAGAAAATGGGATTTGTTCCTATTTTTAAATAACTTTAAATACGGTAATTTTAAAACTCCCTAAAATGATGGTTCAGGTAAAATAATTTTAAAACTTCCTGCAATTATACCTGTGATAGTATAGTCTCCCCAAAATAAAATAGCCTGAAAATGACATCAATATTGGTTGCAAATATGGGAGGCTCCTTGCTGAATTTGTGATGGAATGGTGTTCTATTGATGCATATGAATTAAATGGTGATTTCATGCTGTTTTTATGTGGCAGTGTATTTGGTGTTTCAGGTTCAGTGGCTTATATATATTTATGTTTATATATATATATTGCAAAATAGGAGGAAGCTTCTGGCAGGGAATTGAAAGCAAAAGCCCGATTATGGTTCTAAATGAGAGGAGCGGTTTGTGGTTGAAGAGAGCAGAAAAAGAAGCCACTGAACCCAAAGTGAGAATCAAGAAGGAAGCCAAGGAATGCCTAAGGCTTGACAGAACTACAGCTCCTATTGATAGATTCCATGGCAGTTAAAGTGGTGTCGAACTGCATTCGCTGTACATCCAATTACAGATTCTGCTCCTGCCACCATCCGCTGCCAGCTTGATTTATTTTTAATTAAGGTTTTCACAGAATGAATGTAAACACAAGGGGCATATGCATAATTCATGGGTGCAGAACAATGAAAAGCACAATCCGGCCTCCTCTTCCTCCTTCACTTACCTTCTAAGGTGCCTCAAAGCATTTTGCAGAGTCCAACTGACTTCAGAAGTGCGAAAGGATTAAACAAAGTGTGGCACCAGACTGACTTCACTCCTGCTTTCATCACCTGGTTCATTTGGAAGATTGATAGGACAAAAGGATTCAGAAGTGCGTTTGAGGTACTTAAATCAGCTGCACGCCAGTGGGAGGTTTCCTTTAGCAATCAAAGGAGGGATCTTTAAAGTGGTCTTTTTAGAGAGTTTGCAAACGGAAAGACCACAGGTGAGTCACTGCATCCGAGAGAAAGGCCAAACAAGCACTGTTGCAAAGGAAGGATTGGCTTTTAGGCTAGAAATAAGAAGTTGCAACGGTCCTTGAACTAAAAGAGTGGCTTTGCTCAAAACTCAGAATATTCTACCTCTTTGGTTGCAAAGTGTATTTGGCTGCGAGGCTAGGAACTTGAAGGGAAATCCCACTTGCAACCGATGGTGCATCTATATGAAGCATGGCCAAACTTTGGCTCTCCAGGTGTTTTGGATCAGTTCCCACAGTTACTAACAGCTGGTAGGAATGGTGGGAGTTGAAATGCAAAACATCTGAAGGGCCGAAGCTTGCCCATGCCCAATCTGTACTGTAGAATTAATGCAGTTTGACACTGCTGCCATGGGTCAATGCTATGGGGCCCTAGGAGTTGTAGTTTTACAAGGCCTTGGGCCTTCCCTGCCCACCAAACTACAACTCTCATGGCAGTCAAGTTGCATTCATTCTAGTGTAGATACAGCCCCAGGCCCTGATGGGGCTTTGGAAATGCACCTTTCACCCCAGGTAAATAAAGGCTTGGTGTGCGTCATTGTAATAATAATCTTCCATAACAACACAGGCAGCTTTGGCAAATGGGTCTCTGCCCTGGCTGCACGCCAGCTTGCAACAAGGAGAGGCAAGAGGTGGAATACCAATGGGGTCTGTGAGTGCGCAGTTGCAAAAAGGCAGGCGCAGAAATGCACGTTGCCATAGAGACCAAGACAGTCGATGGAAAGTGGGAGATGTAGAAGAAATGTTGCAGAGCTCCCCGGATGGACTTAGCCAACCATTGCTTGAAGCCAAGGACTGGGGACATCAGGCTGATGAGACATGACCTCCGAAATGTGGCCTAAGTAGAGCCTCTTTGGGCAGGTGCACTTCAGAGAAACTGCTGCCCATTTATCTCCTTGCTCGCCCATCCATCTACCCACCTGCCCAGACATCCTTTTTTCCAATATTGATTGAGCATTCTTTATCCAAAATCCTCCAAAAGCAACATGGGTCGCTGAGAGTGATATCTGTGTTTTCAGATGGTTCCATGGACACAAGCTTTGTTTTGTGCACAAAATTATTCAAACTATTGCCTATAACGAACGACCTTCAGGCTATGAAACAATGAATTTCGTGTTTAGCTCAGCTATTACAAAGCTTGTATCAAATATCCTTCAGGTCATGTGCATAAGGTGTATAGAAAATACAATTGCATTTTGTGTTTTATTTTGAATCCCAGTTCAACTGTATCTCATTATATGTGTATGAAAATTGAGGGATTCCAGAGCACAAAACCCCCCAATATATTTGTGGTCTCATTTTAGATAAAAAAGATTCAATGTGTAATCAAGGTAATTGATAAAAATGATTAAAATGCACACAAGAGGCAGCGGTTTGGGAATTAAAAGTAATTTTAAAAACACAATTGTTCCCTTTTGATTTCCAAAGGAAAGAAAAATACAGGGTGGGAGTCAGAAGGGAAAGGAAGAAAAGGTTTTCAGGATCTGTTCTTTTGGATTCTTAGTGGGGAATGAAGCTCCTTTTCTGGCAAGGAAATGATGGTGATGATGACACATCACTGTTGCATTCAATAAGCGGCTGCCTCTTTGAACACGTGTTGTTTTGCCTCTGCTCCCACCTTTCAATTATTCAAGCCATCATGTTTTATTCATTCGGTTGTCCAATCCGTTTAGGTAATGTTCTTTCTGCAGCCCGCTCCCCAATTCTGCTGTTGCAAAGACCCTCTGGCCGCTTTCTGCTGCGGCTAGAAAGGGAAGCATGGCTTCCCTTTCTAGCGAGAGAGAGATGCAGCCAATAGGCAAAAAGGCATTTCTGCACCTGGATGTACATGATGTGCTTTCCAAAGGAGAATGAACAGTTTCCATGCTGATGCTCACCTCTAGGGACAACCTCAAAGCACATGAAGTCTCCACACCTTTGCAAGTAGTTTGGACTAGGACCCCAAGATTCCACATTCATTTATCAGATTAAGAATCATGATCAGAATTTAGAGCCCCACTCTGGGAAAACCTTGAACAAGGCCTCTATGGCCAACTACCATTGGAAACCGAGATTCCACTTAAACATTAGGAAGCACTTGAAAGGTAAGAGCAGTTCAATGGTGGCAATTAGAGGGTGGCACTTGCTTTTTTTGGGGGGGGGGTCCAAAATGCCCTCCAATTTTGGCAAATCCACCACATTGACTTCAATCCCCAAAACCTTGGGAGACAGGGTTAAAACTGGCATTTGTTTATGTTCGTACCATGTGCTGCTATGTTCGCTATTGCCTTGAGCCTCAGTTCATAATGCCACACTATCAAGGTATCCCACAATGACAACAGAACCCACCTTCCTGAGAAATGGACTACAGAATCCCCCTTGACTCTCTTGCCATAGGGGCTCTCCTGGGCTTTTTGGATGCCTTTGTGGGGAAACAGCAGCAGCATTGGCCCCTTCTGAAAACCTGGATCCCAAGCGGCCTCTTTGGCAGTCCCCCTTTAAAAGCATTTAAGTATAAATTCGAACATATATATCCCCAGTCTCTATCAGGTCAATACTTTTTGGTAGACCCAGAAGGCCATCTCCCAGCCACCTCTTTCTTCCCTTATTCAACCACATAGGTTTAGGTTTAATGAAACTTTTTTATTGTAATCCAAAAGGTAACAGAACAAGGCTGAAATGATATTTCTGCAAGTCCTCCAGCTGATATTGTAAGCCATACCAGCCTTTTTCTTTTTAAACGTTTTCCTGACAGGCAATCCTTTAAAAAATTTCATGTGAATCGATCCACAGTACAGTAAACTCCACCTGAACTCATTTTAACGGTGGTTTAAAAATAAGATGCCCCTCCCCCCCAAATAAAAATAAAATTAAAAACCCTCCAAACTGTCCCCTCCCTCCCTCCCGGCATATTACATGGTCACAACTCACAAGTCTGTACAAAATGTTCACTTTATAAAGCTCTGATGTAAAAATCAAATCAAGCAGCAATTGCGCAAGTGCAGTAGAGGGACTTCCTGGCCTTTCCCCCAAAGGCTCACTTTCGTCGATGGTTTATGGTGGAGAATAATCCCATCCCAGCGCCTCCTCTTCTGAGGAAGTCCTTGGCCTCAATGCTAAACGGGGACGGGGGGCTTGGCTTTTTGGTCGTCCTTCTCCTTGTCCTTGCTTTTCTTGGACTTTTTCTTCTTGTGTTTATGCTTCTGGCTCTTCTCTGCCTCGGACTCGGGCCCTGCGTGCTTCTTATGCTTCTTGTGCTTTTTGTGCTTCTTATGTTTCTTCTTCTCCTTCTTCTTCCGCTTCTTCTTGCTGTCCTGGCTTTCGGCAGAGCTGGGACTGCTGCTGCGGCTCCTTCCGGCACTTTCTGAGGGGCTCCGGCTGGGGCTGGGGCTGCTGGTGCTCTGGCTCCCTTCCACTGCCAGGACAGAGGCTGAGGCGACTGTTCCTGCCCCCGGCCCAGTGGCAATGGCCTCCTTTGGCAAATTGTTGGCAGCAGCATTGGTAGCATTCTTGTCCTTCCCCTCCTTGGGCTCCTCCACTTTGGCCGAGGCATTGCTGTCGCTGTCGCTCTCGTTGTAGTCGGGAACGAAGGCGGCCTCATCCGTTTCTCTTGTTGGGTCGGAAGAGAGCCGGGATGTGTGACTCAGCTGGGGCTTTGGTGGTTTGGGAGCGCTCTTCTCGCTCCCTGCTCCCGGATCGCGTGTCTCCGATGAACTGCCCCGAGGCCGGTGTGAGGCCTTGCTCCCTCCTCCGGCCATCTTCTCCTTGGTGCTCCGGCGCTCAGACGAGAGTGGGCGCTTTTCCCTCTCCTTGCCGGAGCCCCTCTCCTGGGACTTGTGGTGCTCCGCTGACGAGCGTCGGGAGTCATGGGCTGCAGCCTTGTGCTCGTTTGGCCTGCGCTCCCTAGGAGGGCTGTAGCTGTTCCGTTTCGGGTCCCAGGCCTCCTTTTTTGGTGGCTCTGTCCGCTCCTCCCTGCCTTTGTTCTTTGTCCCAGAAGTGGAGGAGGAAGATTCTCTAGGGCGGGACGGGGAGGCCCTTTTCCTTGAAGGATCGCTCCTCTCCTCCCGTCGCTTGGATCCTGAGTGGTCTCTGCCGCTGCTGCTCTCGTGATCATGCTTCTTTTCCCTGCTGGGAGTGAAGTCCTTTGCAGAGGAGGAGGAAGTGTGGGTTGTGTCGTGTTTCTCTGGGGCTCTGCTCTCCCGGGAGGAGTGAGACGAGGAGGAGGCCCTGGGATTCCCCGGCTCAGCACTATGTTCGGAGCGCTCCTTCTCCAGCTGCAGGCTGCTCTTCCTTTTCTCAGATGAGTCTCGCTCAGACACAGCGTGATCCCGGTCTTTGGCTTTCCCTTTCTCACTGGACGCTGTGCTTTTGGAGCTTTTGGGTTCCAGCTGCCCTAAAGTTTCGCGCGCGATTTCCCTGTTGGTTTTCTGGGTCTTCTCCAAAGGAGGCTCGAGCTCCTTCTCGTTCTGTTTGAAGGAGGTAGAGGGTTGCTTTGCGCTGACATTCTTGATGACGCTGACAGGCTTCGTAATGGCAGAAGGCAGCTGGGCAGGTTTAGCGACTGCCTGTTCCTCCTCCTCCTCCTCCGAATCGAAATCATCCTTGTCCCACTTGGACTGGGGGACTTGGATCATGATGATCACATCTTCCGCAGGAGCTGTGATGTCGTTGTTGTACTCTTCCATGGTCTTGATGACGGTTCGCTTGGTGTCCAGCTTGTCCTCCGCCTTCTTAACAGGGCTCCCACCAGCAGAGCTTGTACTAAACAAGGGGGGGGGGAGCCCAAAACAGATAGGTTAGGATAGAGATGAACATGGCCAACTCTGCATTGGGCAATGAATTTTCACAAAGCTAGGGCAATCCACCAAAACAGCCCTTGCACACAAAATTACGTGATGAAGCTGGGAGCCACCTTTTCCATGAAAACTACGGCTGGGAGTGCAAAAGCATGGCCTTAATCTCTAGAGGGGGAAACATCTAAACTGCTAAACCCTCTCACAGGTGGTTTGTCATCTGCTGCATAACTGCACTCAGCTTCAGATTTGGGGACTATGCCTTGCTAAATGAACCTGAATTAGCTCAATGTAAGATAAATAAGAAGCCATGGAAACTTCCTCATGGATACGTTTGGGCTATTTTTATTTATTCTTATTATTATTTTCATCTCACTTCTTCTCTCTAAAAAAAAAAAAGAGACTCAAAGCAAATTATCATCACTGTTTTTCATCCACTCGAGTTGGTCCCAATACCTGATGCTACTATTCTGCTCCCAGAGTGATTTAAGGTGGCCAAATATGAGTCTTTCTGCAAGAGTATACAAGTTCAGCCTGACATGAACTCAAATTTAAACAGATTTTTCATTATTAGTCAAAAGGTACCTGGTATAATCCACTAGCGTTGAACCAGTTCCGTCAGTCATTGCCACCTTTCTCCTCATCTTTCCCTTCGTTTTCTCTGGCTTCACTTTGCTGCTGGTCGTTGGCTCAGGCTTCTCAGCCAGAGCCTCTTTGGCAGGAGGGGCATTTTCGGTGCTAGCAATCTTCTTGCCCGTCTCCCTGTTCAGCTTAATTTTTTTCGTCGGGACAGCGGGCAGAACCGTTTTGTCCTTTTCGGGAGTCTTCTCTGACTTCTCATCTTCGGGCTCAGCTTTCACTCCCTTTGGTGCAGGTTTGGATTCTGCACTTTCTGGTTTGGGAGTCTTAGACGACGCAGCTTCTTGTTCCTTATTATCTCCTTTTTCCTCAATCTTCCTCTTCCTTTTCTCCGGCTTGACCTCCACAGGTTTGCCCTTGTCCAGGGGCTTCTTGGACTTCTCCTCCTTACTTGATGACTTCTCTGGCTTGACCTCCTTGGAGGGGTGCTCCTTCTTGCTCTTCTCTTCTTTGCCCGACCGGCTGTCTGGGTGCTCTTTAGCCCCGCGGGGATGGGCCTTGCGTGGTGTGCCCACTGGCTTATCCTCTTTCTGGGAGGATGAGGTCTTTGCGCTGTCAGCCTTTGCCGTCTCCTCCTTTGCTTTCTTGGTGGGGGGCTCTGCTCGTGGAGACTTTTCACGGTCAGCCTCCACTTTCTCTTGGGGCCCCTTGGGAGGCTTGGCTTGGGTCTCTTTCTTGCTGGTGGCTGAGACGGGAGCGGCTGGAGCATCCATTTTCCGCTTAAGCTTTTCGGCCTTTGCCTTTGGCTTCTCCTTCCGCTCCTTGTCGGAGATTGGCTTGAAGGCGACAGAATCGGCATCCATTGGCTCATCCCGGACAGGGGTTCCATCATCTCTGCTGGGGGGCACGAAAAGTGGGTCCGGCTTGCTATCTTCTCCTGCAGAAGAAGGCGGATCCCTGGGCTTCCGGGACCCTTCTAGCGGATCAACACTAAGGAAGCCTTCCCCCTCTTCTCTCCTTCTCCTTCGGTGCTTCTTGTGTTTATTTCCTTTGGCATCTCCTGAGGGATTCTCAACTTCCTTCTCTTTTGGTTTGACCATGTCTTTCAAACCATGGCCTTCTCTGCCACTTAACTTCTCAGGGTAGCCTCCGCCTAGGTTCCGGTTCCGGTGTCCCAGTGCAGTGGGAAATTCATCCCTGCGACCTCGGATGTACGGGGAGTTCTCTCGCCGGGGTCCGAGAGGCCCAAATCTCTCTGGGGAGAAGTTCTCTCTGTTCAGCAGCGGCCTGGGCTGGGCCCCGGGCAAGATGCCCTTGTAGTACTTCTCCCACTCTCGGTAGCGGATCTCCCAGTTGTGAAGCCTCTCTTTCTCATAGGGGTCCCTCATGTCCACAGGCCGGCCATAGTATGCCTTCATTTCATAAACAGGAACCTCCCGGTAGCGGCCAAAGTACTCCCGCTCCCCTTCCGGCTGAGGAACCGGGGGGTGCTTGTTTGGGGACTGAGCTCTGTAGACAGGTGATCTAGACCGAGAGTGGTATCTGCGGTAGGGAGGAGATCTTGACCTTGACCGGTGGTAGCCATGTGACCGCGAGCGGGAGCGGTAGTTGCGGCTCTTTGCCCGGGCTCTGCGGGGGTACGGCGGGGAGCGGGAATAGGAGCGGGAGTGCGAGCGGCTGAAGGAGCGGGAGTAGGACCGAGAGCGAGAGGAACCGGAACGGGACTTGGAGTATGTGTAGGAGCTCCGTGAATACGAGGATGCACTGTAGGGTGACTTGGACCTTAGGAGCAAAACAAAAAAAGGAGGAGAAAGGGCCATGTTTTATTGCAGCCTCTTGTAACTTTTTACACATTACAAGGCAGAACAAATGTTCAAGTACAAAATTCATTTGCTTTCTGCTTCAAGCTAAATTAAGAGGGCCAAAAGGACACAGATCACATAGATACTGCAGAGACACACTATTCAGGACTGTGGCGTCCATCATTTGGTTCTTCAAGCAATTGGGGCTTCATCTCCCAGAAGCCTTGGTCAACTTGACCAATGGTCAGGAATTCTGGGAGCTAAAGTCCAAAAACACCTGGAAGAGCAAAGATTGGGCACCACTGATTACAATTTGCTCAAACTCAAGAGGGGACTTTCCAGTTTTTAAAAAGAAGCTGTCAGAACAGATCCTCTCTCTTGTCACAAACTGCCTCTGGAATTCCAGGGGTATCAGAAAATGTTCACTGAATAACCATGATATGCTTCGTTTGGGAAGAAAACATATGAAACCCTATGTGACTTGCTCTGCGTATTCAACTATTCTTGGGATTGCAGTCACATGCTTGTGATTGTTTTGAGTCTTCAACTTGGTGACCCTAACATGGGGTTTTCTTGGTAGAATGGCTCCAATACAGCAAAATGACCCTGCAGAGACTTTAGGGGATGCTAGTGGCCATGTTGAGGGCAAAACAATTTCTGAACTCCCATCCAATAGGGAGAGGATTGTAGGAGCCTTGGAGCTCCCACAAAAAGGGATCTGGGGGCTCGATGCAGGCCCCAGGCTTTCCTCCTATGACCACACTGGTGGTCAACTGCTCGCCTGCTCCTCCGTCGCTTTGTGTCCAAGAGCACTGAGATGACAAAAAAAAGCCTTCCTCAAGGTAGGGACCGAGCCCGGCTCCCTCCTTTGCCTCCTTAAACACACAGACGCAAGAAAAAAGAATTACCGGGAGTAAGAACGCCTGCGTTCTTTCTGGATTTTCTTATATTCCATTAGTTCTTTAGCAAAATCATTTGTAAACTCATCGAGCTTTGATTTTTTCTTTTCCCTGTTAAAATAAGGAAATCAGGGTGAGGCCAAGCAGCCAGGTGCTGCCGGAAAAGGCATTCCTATGAACGACACCGAGGTGGAAAAGCGGACAACACGGCATGCAAGTGACAGACAAAACATGCGACTCAGCGGCGGGGTTTTAATCTCGAGGGTTACTGTTTACAGCGGGAGTGAACAACCAACGTTTGCAGCCTAGTGTTATATGTCATTTCTGCTCACATCCCCAAATGGTCAACACAACAGAAGGAGAAGGAAACAGAATGGAACGGAATGGAACGTGGTCCAGCGCCAAATACTTACTCCTCTTTCAGCCTCCGTTGCTCCCTGTAAAACTCCTCCCTAGAGAGGGGAGGTGCCTGTGTCGTTGGGATGGCATTGGAGTGAGCCGTTGGCACAGGAGTCGGCACCCAGGGGGTCGAGAGGTTGCCTGGCGCCGGGGGGAATCCCGGTGGAGGGACCACGTACCCAGCCGGAGGGGGCTGCCCCGGGGGGAATTGCGGGGGAAACTGTGGGGGAGGGACCCCCGGGGGGAGGGGCAGTGCGTGAGGGGGAGGGGGGTGCGGATAGAGGGGCGGCGGAGGAGGAGGAGGCACGGGCACAAAGACCGGTGTCGAAGCTGGCAGTGTTGGGGCCTGGGTCCTTTGTGTGCGGTCATTATGCGGGCGTCCTCGGTTTGAACTTCTAAAGAAACCCAAAAAGACTTTGTCACTGAGGGTTACGCCTGGGCCCCCCGCCCGGCTCACAAGAGAGGAATGCAACACGGCATCATCATGGCCCATCCTGCCTCACTACCTGTCCTGCCGTGGTTCTCCTTTAGGCCCCTTTCCCTTGGCTGTGCTATTTAACCAACATTACCAAGAAAGGCACCACCCCAAGAAAGGCTCCAGCCAGAGACAATCGCTCTCAATGCTAACTTTCCACTTCCACACTTTGTAGCATCACACACTAATTTTCTGCTTCTTGATGTAGCTTCTTAACTTCCCTTTCTTAACAATCTGTCTTGAAACTGCAACTCTGGCTTCTGGGATTTTAGAAATACCTAATTATCAGTGGAGCTCCCAAATATGGGCGACCTATTGGGGATGATCTGATTGCGCTTTTCCTGCCTGGCAGAAGGGGGTTGGACTGGATGGCCCTGGGAGTTTTTTTTTTCAACTCTAGGATTCTAAAACCAGGCTGGTGAGATCTACCCGACAGCCTGTCCCTTTCTACAGCTGATAACTGAAACTGTGTTTCCAAAAAATAAAAAATAAAACAGGATCACTTTGCTAAGGTGTCGTTTGCTACCATCATATATTCCACTAAAGTCCTCTCAGCAGCAAGTGATGCCTCCTAAAACCAAATCCCCAAATTCCAGGCTCCTAAAACCAAACACACAAACCCCTAAATTCTAGAAAGCCTCTCTAAGCACATACACAGATCAGATTAATAAGCTTATCATATTCTAAACTTGCTACATGAGAGTAGGAAAAGGACAATTTGATGTTATACTTACGGCTCCCAGCCTGATCTGCTGCCTGCCGATCTAAGAGGGTTGGGTCTCATTGGCTGACCTACATGGAAAAGGAAAAGGTTACTTTGAGCAAAGAACAAAGGGTCAATGCATGCAAGATTCAGGGAGAATGGGAGGCCACTTACCCATAGAGGGAATGGAATGCCCATGAGGACCCAGCTGCCCTCCCAAGAGGGGCTGCCCAAGCACTGGGACCTGGTAGCCCTTCAAAGAGGAAAAGGAAAAGGATCAGATGCTGATGATGGTGGTGGTAAGATACAAGAAGGAGTTCTATGCTGTGAAACGAGGATTACCTTCTCCTCCAAAACAGTATTAATCGACAGCGAGGAAAGTGGTTTCGGGTGATCAGAAGCCGCCATGAGAGCCACTGCTGGCCCAATACCATCAGCGTCCCTGCAGAACAGCAAGGCGAACAAGACAGGTCAGGAACAAGAACGGGGCCTAGAAAGCCTCTCACACAGAGTTCTTAGGTACCTTTACTCTGGAAAAGTATCAGAAGAAACCAACTCCCTCAAGTATTAAAGGTGTTAGGCTGGTGAATTTGGGAACATCACAATTGGGAGGCTCACAACTAGAGTGTGAGGTGTACAAACGTAGCCAAGCGCTATGACTAACATACTACTTTCCTGTGCCTATTAGTTCACCTTATATGGGAAGGAAGGCCCAACCAAAGCAGGTGAAGTGTGTCCATCATCTCTGGCAATTATTTGCCTTTCTTTGGAGCTTTCCATGAGTGAAATGAGGAACATGGGAAGCTTCACTGACCAGCTTGGTTTTACATCAAACTTGCTTCGAGAAGCAAGGCTGCTTGCACACACACACACACACACACACACGTGTGTGTGTTTCTTTCCTAAGACTCTGTGCTACCAACACTTCTGTGGAACCTCTGAGGCTGTGGCTTAGGTCAAAAGCCTATCCAACTGACAGTTTTGAGGAGCATCACCAAAATGCAGGACTATCTGCTTCCCACACCCCCACTGCGGCTTTTCCATTTCCTAGTTTAATGCTAATCAGTTTACTGTAATAGCTTAACTGGTGCTGCTGGGAAAGGCATTCCTACGAACGACACTATGGCTGGCATCAGCTGGCATGCCATGAATATGCTGGAAACAAAGGCTGAAGTGCGCTCTGCAGCACCAACTGACTTACCGGAACGGTCCATCAGGTTTGTCAGTGTGAAGAGCCAAGGCTAGCGATGCAGGAACCTCACCGGGCGATGGGGCCACAGACTGCTTCAGTGGCAAGGCGCCTGCTGCGGAGGCCGACTGCCCAGGGGGCAAGGGCAAGGGCAAGGGAAGGGCCAACGGCACGGCTGGGTGAAGGGTGGCCGGGGCGGCTGAGGCAAGGAGGGGGTCTTGCTGCCGGGGCCCCGGGGGCCGAGGGGCAGAAGGCAGGCTCCGCTGGACCACTGGCCTCGGGGGTGGGGCTGGGGCTGGTTTCCGCAGCCGCTTTGTGTAGCCAGTTTCATTTTTGAAGTTGTTCACGGCCTGCAGAGAAGGAGCCACAAGGCAGAAGAAGTCACGCCAGACAGCAAGACATGTCCTGAGCCCCATCAGTGATGAGGTCCACAAAGGCATGAAAGCACACAGGTGAATTTGGGCCCATCATCAGTTGTCCAGAGGGGCATCTATCAGTCTCTCAAAGGGAACAAACTAGCCAAACCCTAACACCTTTCTGCTATATTTTTTAAACAGGGCCCTTCCAGCTGGACAAACACAGTAATCCAACAAATGCTTAGAATAAAGGTGAACTGGCTCATTTGCACAGGTTGATGTTAAGTTACCTGACGTAAAAACTTGTTGGCAATTAAAGCGTCTGGTGAAACATCTATCTGATGGCAAGTTGGGCAGGTGTGCTCCTCCGACTCTAGCAGCGCAGTCCTGATACCTGCAAGTGATTTTAAAAGATATGTAAAATACTCATTCTGCAGAATACTGGACACTGATCAACATTAATCAGGCCAACATTCTGTTTCCAATTCTCCCTATAGGGAGAACAACTCAGTCAGAACTTGTGTTTGAAGAAGAGGAGGAGTAATAGTAGTAGTAGTAATATAATAATGGGACTTTTGAATTCAGACTGTAGAGTTTTGGAGCACAATACTCCTGACATCATGATCATGGAAAAAAAAGTATGGGTCATCGATGTTGCATTCCCAGGCAACAGCAGAATTGACAAGATGCAACTGGAAAAGCTGACACGATACGAGGATTTAAACATCGAAATGCAAAGACTCTGGAACAAGCCAGTAAAGGTGGTCCCAGTGGTGATTAGCACAATGGGTGCAGTGCCTAAAGACCTTAAAAACAATTGGCGCTGACAAAATCAGCACCTGTCAGCTGCAAAAGGCCATCCTTCTTGGTTTTGTACGCATTATTCGCCGACACATCACACAGTCCTAGACACTTAGGAAGTGTCCAATATGTTCAATACAAAAACTAGCATAGTAATCTTGTTTGCTGTATACTAATCTTGTTGTGTATCAAATAATAACAATAATCCACTTGTACCCCACATCAAGCTGCAAGGAGAGGGGAATAAATTATTTTATTATTTTCTTCTATGGAATCAGGAGACGGTTAAAGGCAACGGGACTCACATTCATCACAGTAGCTGTTTCCACAGCAGGGAATAACCACGGCATCTGTCATGATGTCTTTGCAGATGAGACACAAGAGTTCGTCTGGGATGGGATCATCTTCCTCTGAGGAAGAAGAGGGCTCCTCTGGAAGGAAAGGGGGCTTCTCTTTCTTCCCTATAGCATAGGCCTCACTGAAAGGAAAGCATCCCAACTCAACATTAACTTCATAAAAACATTAAATGTGCAGCCCACTTGCTTTGTAGTTGGTTATATGAAAAGTTGGTTTTCCTATCCAGACTACTGTTTTTGTTCAATTGCTATCAAGTTGGCTTTGACTTATGGTGACTCTCAGAGAGAGTTGCACAATCCCCTTCTTCTTTCAAAGCTGTAGCTCCCTTAATTGATTCCTCCCACCTGTAATGTCCAGAGACAATCTCCTTGATTATCTTCCACCTTAGCAAAACTAGTAAGTCTTGTTGTTACATGGTATGTCCAGAGTATGAGACTCGGTTCTGTCCTGACTAAAAAATCTTCCGCAAATTAAAATAGTAAGGAAAGGAAAGAAGGGGAATCACTGCAGGATTGTAGGAAATAGCTGGGAAGTATTTTAAGTATGGCTTCACTAGTAGTATTATCTATCTTGAGGATAACTTTTCTATTCTAAGAGGATAGAAATAAAATAATAATAATACTTAAGCAGCCTGGCAAGATGTGACACAGAGAATGACTTGCTGTAAATCCAGGGATTTCCTGATCTATTCTTATGGCAGCCACATTGAAAGTTGCCATCCGCATTAGCTAGCCCCACTTTGTGTCCCAAAGCTTAGCAGATACTTACGCATCGATTGTTGGGATGGCATATTTCCCTGTATTGGTGAGCATGGCCCCCTTGGTGTTGGGGTCTTGCACCTCCATCATGAAGCTTCGGGGAATTCCAGTGCTCTTTTTAATTCGGGGAGTAGATTCAAAGTTTTTGTCCTGTCAAGTGGGGAAAGGAAATAGGCAAACTATTAGAGAATTTTTTGTCCATTTTTCAAAACAAACCCCATTCAAATTATCTGGCTTTCTTGGAATGTACATTTTTTTCACCAATTTTTATCTATGTACTACTGCAGCTTAGGAAATGCTGTTTAAGACAGCTCATTTCTTAACTGGGAGAGATAACAGAAGGGTAAAAAAATTTCTCTTGTTCTCTGAATGAATGAGAGTCCAAATTTAATTAAAAATGACTTTTCTGTGTCATTAGCACTCCATATTGAATAAGCAGACTGATTTCACCGGCACTTCACTGGAAATTAGACATATTTATTTAGTTATTGTGTCAGAAGCAAGTTGAGGGTACAGTTAAAATGCATTTAAAAACATGTTTTTTTTAAAAAAAGAACTTGGCATTATGCTAAATGTCCATTGACCATAAGCTGGCTACTTGGAGCGCCTCTGGTGTCACTGTGAGAAGGTCTTGCAGCATCAAACGACTTGCAGCATCAGAGATACATATCATATGACAAGAGATAGAAAAATGGCCCTGAAGAGGATGCTACAGATATCAGACACATCAACTTCAGCCTGACCAAAAATGCTGTCAAAAAAACTTCATTTAGAAGGATATTGCTTCCCGCAAATACAAGAAACATAACCTTTGTATTATAAGTTATACTCATATTGGAACGAAAGACTAACACAATGCCAGCAAATGAACAGATGTTATTTCAGCACCAGGCCCTTACCCCGTTGGTTGGGCAGATCTTTATATAATGACCAGGTTTTCCACAGCGAAAGCAAGTATAGGTTGGCGGAGGTGGTCCTGGGGCTTTCTTCATGTAACTAAAAAAGTTGTGAGAAAAAAGGTGTGCATCTTGGCAAGGGTTTTTTTTCTTCAATTAAAATGTAAGTAAATTTTATTCCAAAATAAGCTATTTTGTTCTCTTTTTGCATATGGCATGAAGAAAACTTACTTGATAGGGTCATATTCGTGGCCAGACTGTGACATCATAGCTTTAATTTTATCTTCTTCAGAAGCATTGGCTTCAGCCAGATTGGCGGTCTGTTCAATAGGTAATCATGTGACACACACATTAGAAACACAATTATGTCCATTCAGTCAAAGACAAACACCACTCATTCAATCCTGTAAAGAGCAGCACACAAAAAAAAAGCTAACTGGAGTTGTCTCAAAAACAGCTCAAGATGGTCCTGAAGATGTTCCAGGGAGTCCTTATGCCATTACATGATGTTTATTTTATGTGCCTGCCAGTGGGAGCTGAAAAGAGGAGGAGGAAGAAAGAGAAGAAGAAAAAAACCTTCTCTGCGGCTGGGGCATTCTCAACCTTAGGCTCTCTTGGTGGCTTACATAATGCCTTGTGTAACTGCTCCAGTTTCTTACGACATTTAGGTGGCCTGGAGTCAAGTGTGTGGGAAAGGTCCCTTTCTGCCAAAGTGATGGGCCAAAAAGCCCTGTGTTTTAAGGTGCTTTGCCGGCAAAGTGGTGCCACACTTGCGCTTCAATTGGTTTAAAGAGGACAGTGTCATCCTGAAAGAGATCCGCTCTGTTCTTCCACGTCACACGCCCCTAAAAGGGAAAAATGCGGGAGCGCCATCGAAAAGCTGCCACACAAATCAAGAACGCAGCTTTCCAGATGACAGTCCCTTTAAGATGCTAAAGAAAGATGGCTCTCCAGACACTAAATTGCAGAGACAAACCAGGTCTAAGGGGCTGCTAACTGACTGTTCAGAAAGTCAAGCACCTAACATCCAAATCAGGCACACACACTTTCTTTTACACATTCATCCACAAAAGCAAACAGCTAGTTTCAACGTTTTATTAAACAGTCAATTAAGATACATCACTTTTCTTAACAATCCAGATTAACATCTATGAAATTGTTCACATTTACAGAGGACTACGGTGTTACAATTACTTAGCTAATTTGTTTGAACCCAAACAGGTTTACAGAACACATCCGATGGCACAAGGAAAAAAATAACATTAGTAGGAATAGACCAAAATTCAAATATGGCATTTAATACACAATAGGAATCAAAACAAAACTGTGAAAGCATATTTCCTCCATGCAAAAACTGTCTGCATTTAAGAGGCTGAAATTACAGCTTTGCACTGCTTTATAGTACGAAAATACTGTCAGAAATACTTAAGGTTCGCTCCGAGACTTAGAACTGTACACCTCTTGGACACTGTGTTCACATTTCAGAAAAAAAAAATAACTTGACATGAGCTTACAGAACCAAGGACAAATTTAAGGACAGCACTAATGGAAAACCAAACTTCGGCTAACTCACTTAGCTAAGGTTTTGCATTTATAAATAAATGCCCATCAGGTTTCCCAGTTTGGCGGGAAAAAGGAACGTGCCTTCATTCACAAGAGAAAGACAAATGAATTGTGAGCCAACACTGCTTCGAGTTCAATTGTTTAAAGAGCAGCTGCTTCTGCGGACGATGGGTGTTATCACTAGTGCTTTCCCCAACAGAGTTACACATTATTGAGCAGGAAAATGCAAGCAGTTTCATATCAAAACAAGGCAGATACAACAGTTTCAGAAGGTCACAGTTGCCAATATGCCACACATAACACATTGGTATATTCCTATAAATACATTTATTACACAGTCTGTGTTCAAACAAATTAGTCGCATGGCTATCGCCCACTACATCCACTACAAATGTATGTACATCCGATTATGTTACGCGTGTTGTTGTTCTAGCACTGGCTACGAGTGAAGAATCCCAAACCATGGTGTATATTGTCCGTGGGAGAGGGAAATGGCCTCGATTGGGGCTGTGGCGCAGAGCAATGCTAGGAGTCCATAAATAGGGTTAAAAATATTCTTCTTTAAAAACTGTGCTATTTTTTTCCAATGAAAAATTAACATTTGAAAGAAACGATAAAAACAGCTTCGGAAGTGGTTCTTCTCCGTGTCTTGAAGATGAGTAAAACTGCAACATTATGTTGAGGCTGATAAGGCACTCCCCTTCTATCTTCCCATACTGGGAACTACTCTTTACAGGATAGTTTATCAATAAAGATACACACATTTCCAATACTTAGGCTCAGGGTTGTCTCACTAAAACGTTTCTGCAACGTTGACAGAAATTAACCGGGAATTTAAAAATCACAGCATAAAAAACATTCAAAAATACCAAGCAAGCAACAATGCATTTGGCTATATTGGACAAGAATATATACGTATATATTTATATATACCTTTGTAAGCTGGGCCAGAGAAATAGATGCAGAAGAGTCATCAATCTGTTCATAAAAAATTAAACACACATTCAAGTTCCACAATCAAAACTCAGCCAACATATTTAGCCTCTACTGCAGTGGCAAGAACTAGTCTGAATTGGAGCCCCACAAAGAGGCCCTTTTTTCAAACCGCAGTAACCTTTACGCAAAATATTGCTTGTAATTTGGCCTTCTGATGTATTTATACATGCATAAATAACATTCAGTTAGGAGGGTGGCGAGGATAGTAAAGCCAACTCCTCTGTTCCACATTCTGCAATCAATGTAAACAGGGCTGTTTTTTTAAAGCAAAAGAAGAGAGTTTCACCCAAAGTATATATACTTTTGTTTTTTTATAAGAGCATGCTGTTGTGTTGGGGAAGTGTATTTCACAAATTATTTAATGTGAGAAAAACCATTAGCAGTGTTGAGGTACTAATTAAATGTCTGGTGCTTAGAAAGAGGGGTTACAGCAGAAAAAGAAAATTAAGTACTACAAATGAACGTGGGTGAAATGATACCAATTAGTAATTTTTTAAAACAAAAACCACTGTATTCAAAAAGTACACATCTTTGGGGGACTTTATGACAGTTGGAAGCCCATTTCATAAACATGGTCATATCTGAATTAGGAGATGCAAATCTTTTTTTAAACACACACACATTACAAGCGAGCAGGAAATATTTAAAGGATTAAGACTCTTCCAGCCTAAGGCTGAGCCCTAGATTTCATCAAATCTTGCAGCGAGGGCCAGTCACAGCCAGGAATCCAATAAGCTGTAGTTATATGACAACTTTAGGGAGGTTGGTTTGCAATTCCTAATCCCTTCGACTAGCTGCGATCTCACAAAGACAACTTCCAAATGGTGCTTCAAAGGACAAAGGAAGTCAGGGATGGGAAACTGTGCTGTGCCCAGGGCAAGGATTTTCTCCAGCAAGGCTCCAGGGGCAGAGCAACTGAAAAAAAATTCCAAACCTAAAAGCAGCCAGAAGTCGACTACTGGTATTGAAAAATTGCAACTCTAAAAGACATTGAACAGTGTACCTATATAAACGCATTAGTTGTGGGGGTTCCCAGAAGAGCACATTCACCCCACTTTTTCTTTAAAGGAAAAAAAGGTGTCGGGGAGGGGGGGGGGGCTGAAAGGAAGTAACTCTGAAAGGGCCACAAGGTTGTCCTCTGCTAAGACCGGTCTAAACGTAGTGTCACACAATCTATCTATGGCCTTTCACACAACTATCATCTGTTTGCCAGTTAGCACATCAACAAAACATACATTTCCATCCTAAAGTCCTAATGAACATATGCAAAGACTTCAACGACAGCCAGCCCTCCGCTTTGCTGGGTTTAAAGGCACAAGATCCCCATAAAAGAAAAAAAAAGATGAAAGAAAATGTTATTTTTTAAAACCTGAGAGAAATGTCTTGGTCCTCCAGCATAGCTATATGGTCAAATTCTACTTGCTCCCATGTGATGAATGGTGGCAATTTAAATAGATTAAGCAGTGAAAGCTGAAAGAGTGAGTTCTTGCCGCCATCCCTGGCTCCATACAATCAGCCTCAGCCTAAACTAACAAAGGAATATTGGGTGCTTAGCCCGAAATGCTTCAGGAACAGCTCACCAGCCGCAATGAAGAAGAAACACTTCACTATTACATATTTTTAAATATAAAGTAAGGGGAAACAGTCACTATCATATATGAATCATACAGAAGTCTAAGATGGAAACATTCAACAGAAGATCGCCACAATGCATTTTATCATTTCTGCAAAGACCTATGCAGTAGCTTGGAAGAATGAGGGAGCAGTACTACATATACAGACTTAGCCTTACAGGAGTAACTTATTTGTGAAAAGGGCTCTCCCCTTCCTTCTGCAATACATAAACGGTTAACAGCTCGTCATGCTGTTAACGTATGCAGCCATACAAGGCAAAGGACCTAGTGTCGGGACCACAATGGACACAATGCTACAGGATTCTCATGAGAAGAACTGCCGAGGTCACAACCCAAACCTCATCTCTGATGAAAGAGAAACCCACATAGATTACATCCTGGTCTTTGAAATGCCACAAAGCATTTTTTAATCCGCCTGTGATTTTTACCTTGTTTCTCTTTCTGCCTTTAAATGATCCATTTCAGCTGATGTTTGTCATATGTGATTTAATAATCTGCTTCGCTTTTGCAAAGGGCTAAATCACTAATTTGCACAGTACATCCACATTCAGATGGAACACTTGAACTGGGGAAATGGAAGGGTTTGAAGAAGCTGAGTAGTCGCTTCTAGCAAAGCTAATTCCAAATGTTTCTGGCCCCAACTTCAAATTGCTTTCAATGACTAGGGATGTAGGATTTCTCCCAGTACTGGCTACAGTGAATGGCACATCAAAGATATGTCACAGTTCCTGAAGTGTTGCCTGAACAAAGGCAATGCCTAGCCCTGCAGATTCAACAGACACTGAGCCATAAGCGTATTAACTCGAGAAACTTGATTGAGGGGACGGGATGAAGAAAAAACCAAAGCAGGCAATGAACCAAAAATGAAGCCCCCCACCAAAGCAAATTGCTTGACGTGCTTCTCCAAAATTACCGGGAGTTAAGATTTCACTTTCAGTCTGGCACTGAACTATCATTTCAAACATGAAAAAGACAGTTTGGAAGCAGAGTATAACCCAAACAAACCTTGTGCATGCTTGAGGATAACAAACAAAAGATATCAGATAAGCCAAGAACAAGGATTCACATATTTGGGCGTGACTCACTAGGCAGATTAAATTGTGGCTCACAGCCAATTCTTATGTAGTCTTGCCTGCTGGTTGTACCACAGGATGAAAGGGGACTTCTTAAGCAGCTGCCCTTTGAAAAAGACAAAAGGTGGCATAGAGCTACACCCAATTGTTCAGCCCATGAGGTAGATGGCTGGCCTTGCAGCACACTGACCCAAAGCAGGGAAGACGGGCTTCTCTGCTTCAAAGTTCAGTGCAGTCTTGAGAGCACTGCACGATGGACACCCGCTCTTTCTGGGCAGGGAAAGCAGCACATGCTCTTGGCAAACAGACTGCAGAAAGAGGCTTTGCCAAGAACTTGAACAATGCCAGGCCTCCACACAGAGAAGTCCTCTCTTGACTGGATGTCAAAAGAGGTACTAGACAGAGGGAATGACTAAAGACTTGCATTTACACCCTGAAAGCACAAAATCTGTATTTTACGTAGTTTCTATGAGATTGTTACCCTAGTCCCTATCCTTAGTTTAATCTCAATCAGCTCAGTCTGGAGACTCTAAGAACTGGGCTCTTTACATTTTAGGTCATGTTGGAGAACCATGAAGCCTCAATTCCCAGTAAGAATGTATGTGTGTGTGTGTTTGTTTCATGAACAGAGTTTCTGCTTCAAGCAGAATTTTCACCAGGTTCACCCTGGGTTTGGCATCTGGGTGAGTCAGCTTACAGCAGGCAGTGGGATGATTTCATTTGGCTCCATTAAAAACTTCTAGAAGAAGCACACCTAGCTTTTCAGCAACCTTGAAACAGCCCAGCAAGTTGTAAATGAATGCCTCATGGTTGACTAAGCAGCAAGGTTTTACAAAAGCACCTCTCTCTCCTATTAGCATGTCAGGCATCAGCAGTGTTTGTACACATGAGCAGCCAGACCAATAAAAATGTAAGGGATGGTAAGACTTCTGGAGCTGTTTGCAAGACAGCTGTTAAAAAACACATCCCAAGTTGAAAAATCTATGAAAATGGCCAGTACATATAACATTTATATGTTCTAGAATATGTAGTCTGTTTGTAGTTATGCAAACAGAAAAAGGACTGCCTCTGAACAAAGAATGAAGCCTAGCTTAAAAAAAAATCATCTTGTTTACTAATTCTGGTTTGGGGCTCCTAAAACCAGAAGCAGTTTTCATCAAAGGCAGGCTATAATTAAACCATTTTCAAAGGGCGAACACAAGCAAGCACAATGGCACCTGCATTTTCTCACCATTGATCAAGTCCTGCAAAATCATAATCTAGCGGTAGGAGGCCAATTGCTCCATTTTAACAAAAATGGAAACCAGCCACACTTAACAAGGACAAAAAAGAGAAGTAAAGCTATAATTCACACAGAGTCATGTTACTATGTGCCAAAATTAATGAACGCGAGTGGAAGGAAAAACCTGCCCTTCTAACTGTACAAAGGAATGATGTCTAGGGCATCCAATAGAAAAATAAGACTTAAGGCTTTCAGGATGGTCAGGCCATGAGTAAAAAAACTGAGCTGGTCTTAAGTGGATTTCTCAGAGAGATGAGAAGACAAACAGCTGGGCTGTTAGGCCTAAATATTTCTCACATTATGTTGCCCATTATGAATAATTCAGCTAAAAAGTGTTTGCTCGGAGAAAAATGGAAGGAACAACAGAACCTCAGGAAAGCAGTGCCCTCTCTTCATGGAAATCATGTGAACATAGTTGCATATTTGAATGTACATTTAGCTGCATAAAATGCCCTGGATGCTTAAGCATGTACTTGAATTCCAAGTTAAGAGGGAGAAAAAGTATAACAACAATGAGGTTTTTGATTATGTTTCAAAAACCAATAAGGGAAGTATTAAGAACGAAAGCTAAGTGATACAATATGATAGTGGCAAAAAAAGGATACACTCCAAATGTTTTTTATTTCAAGAAAACAAAAAGCACACAACCTATACAAACATACAGCTACTAACTAGAGACACACAGATGTAGAACAAGGCAATCACTTTCAGTAATGCAAACCCCAACTTACATGATCTATAAATGATCATACAGCATTCTGTACAACACGGAGTCATACAGGAAATAATCTAGCAAGCAATATGCAATACAGTGTGTCACTTGGCACAAGTGTTATTATCCACATTAAAATGATCTGCATTGCTCATTTTACTATACTGAATCAGAATACAATATAGTCACAGTATCAATGCTGCCATAGGAAATTAATCAAAATTAGTATTTAGAAATGTAGTTTATTGCCACATTATGGTTTAAAAATTAAGCACAATGTGTAGAAGAAAAAAGTGTGATTGTGTTTTTACATACTGCTTTTGAAGGTCCACTCACTGGTTCAGTTCGACTTCTAGAAAGTGAAAATAAAGAGACTATCAGAAGGAGGGCAATGCACATGGCACAAAAGAAAGCGCTTCCACCAAGGACACCAATGGTACAGGGGTATAGTAGGTAAAGAAATAAACACCCCTTACAAAGTCAGATAACCAAGGCCCTGGTCCTACAGATATGTGGCACTGAGCTTCCACCATCTACAAGTATCACTCTACCAACTTCCTTTACAATCAACATGAAGACTGCATATTAATATTGTGTACTCCATGTTTCATGATGGTTGCACAGCACTTTGAGATCTTCATCTTACTGGCTTTTTGAAAAACAATAATAAATCAATGGAGATTTAACATGCACAGGTTTCTCCAAAGAGGTCAAGTCCCACACCGTCCGTGAATAAGGAAAGTGGCCTGGCAAGGAGGAAATGCCCTGCAGCATAAGGAACCTCAGGCAAAAGGGGCAACCATGGTCAGAGATATCACCTGAAAGGAGTTTCTGGGGTTCTGTGTAATTTATGAGTTCTGCGATAAAGAAAAAAAGTCATGTTTACTCACACTAATTATAGAGAAGTTTTGAATGTGATGTATTTAGACCTCCATCTTCCCTGTGAAAATGTTGGCTTACTCAGGACAAGAGATTCCTGCAGCCAGATCTCTGGCAGACAACTGAAGATGATAGCAGCTACTAGAGGACCAGAATTTGTGGCCCAATTAAAGATGACTAAAATGCACTTACAATGCCAACAATTTATACTTCTAGATAAAAATATGTCCTGAATAAACACAATATTTTCAAGGTAATTTTCACATTCCCTTAGTGAAAACATATCACTATCTGACACTGCAATTTGAATGAATGGCATTTTCACACTAGCCACACAGCTTATATTCCTGGGGAATTGTGTTTTATTTGAAACTGGGGACAGAGACTTCCTTTAGGCCATGGAAGAAAAGAATCATAGAATCACAGAGTTGGAAGGGACCTCATGGGCCATCCAGTCCAACCCCCTGCCTAGAAGCAGGAATATTGCATTCAAAGCACCCCCAACAGATAGCCATCCAGCCTCTGTTTAAAAGCTTGCAAAGAAGGAGCCTCCACCACACTCAGGGGTAGAGAGTTCCACTGCTGAACGGCTCTCACAGTCAGGAAGTTCTTCCTCATGTTCATATGGAATCTCCTTTCTTGTAGTTTGAAGCCACTGCTCTGTGTCCTAGTCTCCAAGGAAGCAGAAAACAAGCTTGCTCCCTCCTCCCTGTGACTTCCTCTCACATATTTATACATGGCTATCATATCTCCACTCAGCCTTCTCTTCTTCAGGCTAAACATGCCCAGCTCTTGAAGCTGTTCCTCATAGGGCTTGTTCTCCAGACCCTTGATCATTTTAGTCGCCCTCCTCTGGACACATTCCAGCTTGTCAATATCTCTCTTGAATTGTGGTGCCCAGAATTGGACACAATATTCCAGGTGTAGTCTAACCAAGGCAGAATAGAGCGGTAGCATTACTTCCCTAGATCTAGACTCTATGCTCCTATTGATACAGGCCAAAATCCAATTGGCTTTTTTTGCCGCCACATCAAGAGTCAGGAGAACATGCAGCAAGTCCAGGACTCACAATGAAATCATGGTTTTTGACTGAACTGGGAATGGGGTCCTACATGCGCTTACTAGTACTGAAAGGCCTAATATCCACTTGTTACTGTAAACTCAAATCCAGCCACCAAGTCAACACAACTTACATAAGTGTTAATGTAATACATTCCCATTGAGTAGTTTTAACCTATCTGGGACTAATCATTTGATTTAGGGAAAACACTCTATAGAAGAGTCCTTGTCACAGCCTAATGGACTGCAGATACCCAATGAAAAATAAGCTTGCCTCGTATTATCTTTTAAAGGCCTTAGTTTCCACCATAAGGGTAACTGGAAATACTAAGCAGGTTTTTGCTCCATTTGCTGTCCTTAGTAGTTAAAACACAAGGCACAGGCAGTAAACCACACATTAGCAGCAGCTCCATTTTAATGGGAGTACAAAGGTCTTGTTTTTCTACCACTGGCTGTATCACGTGCTTATAGTCCCAGAGGCAACTTTCCCCAGCACCACAGAAGCATATATGAGGACATGACTGCCATGGAGTGTCATTGGATGGGACTATCACCTCTGCACCACAGCTGGGCTCCTGTGGAATTTGTGGTTGGGGAGATGACAGATGAAACATTACTTCTAAATGTTGCTGCTTTTTTTTAAAAGAAGGAATTGATTTAAATCTTACAACTGTCACATATAAGGCAGCACATAGCAGGCAAGTACTACCATTGCTCTGACTTATTCACATCTAGAGCTGTAGAAGTCTATTAGCTTCAAGTGTGAGGTTGCCCAAGACCACTCCTTTAGTACATGTGTGCATTCCCCCTTTCTCAAATATACACCCCCACAGCCATTGCATTGCTAATCATTGTGAGGCAATAATGAACACACAGACAAGGGATCTAGAGCAGAACTATCTTAGAATGAAGAAGGCATTTTCCTATGCCCATCGAAATATTAGCTGACCTACTCTGCTACTCTTTCTCTTTCCTACCACCCCACCCTTCTGGAATGTGCCTGGCCCCCCAAAACTGAACTGTGCTGAGCCAGTTATGTAACAGATGTGCTCCCATTGCTACAGTGGCCCATAGCCCATTCTGTACATGTACAATTGTAATGTGGTACATAAATGAACCTATTTATATTCCCAGGATGAGTTATTCCAATGAACCTGAACCACTTAAACAGCTACTAAGAGGAGCAAAGTATGTAGGAAAATGAAAACTCCTTAAACTGACTGTGTGTGAATCAACACTCAGTAGCCACAGATTTATTTTATTTTATAAAGCCTGTGCTCTGCGCTCAATGAAATCTGCAAAAGAAATACAAAAGGCAAATAAGAAGCAGGCCAGATACTTACATGACATATGTTTTACTTGTACACTTTACTCCACCAATAGGAATTCTTCTGACAATAACAGATGAGTTCTTGGGAATCAGGGCATTATCATCAGTATATTCTGAAAAGGAGATAGAGTTCAGAGTAAATAAAAATCTGATATATTACTTCCCCCCAATAAGACATACAATCCCAAAACACTGGGATTATGAAGGACAGTAGGGAGGTGATGCCATAGTTAAAAGAGATAGCAGTGACACCTGCCTTAAAAAGTCCTAGCTCAACTGTATCTTACTGATCAATTTCTCCTATATCATTTCGTTGGGCAAGATGCTGGAGAATATGGTAGTGTCTATTTCAAATCAGCTCCAGTCTCACTTAGGGGACAAAGATTGCTTTGCTTACCTGAGAAGCCAAGCTTGCCCTATTTTTCTCACTTTCCACTAGCAGGTGAAGATCTTCTGATTCAAACAGGTTTCTGATCTGTAGAGTGTGGTTATTTCTTTCTTAATAAAATATTTTATGTGTTTTAAATTAAATGAACCTTCACATTTAATTGTAAGTTTCTAATTTATAGATATTTCAAGATGAGCAGCCTTGAACAAATACTTTTATAGGAAAGGTAAGCTATATATTTATATATGCCCACAGCCTACTGATATGAGAAGTATGAGGGTAGAGCAAATGCTGGGCAGAACACAATATTCTACCACATGAAAAGTAAAAGCGCATATAAGATATAGGGCATATTCAATAAGTTTCCTTTTATTCAACATATCTACTAGAAGGCATTGCTTCAATTCAGCAATTAACTTCAATGATAGCATGTGTCTACCAAGTTTAACAACCAAATTAATAACTAAGGGAGATGAAGTTTTTAAAAAATTAGATCTCTTAATTTTAAAATATTAATTTAATGTTTCAAAAATATTAATGTTTCAAAAAAATCATGCAAAAAATACCTATAACAGAAAAGTTCACAATTAAGGCATATCAGTGGGGTTTCTCACTCCACACAGATGGACATAAATAACTACCATTAACTTTTGAAATGGAACAAGTAAAAGAGTTTCAGAATGAGAAGTGTGATTAAACATCTCTAAGCCACAAAGGTCATCTACGGACCAAGAAACCATGGCATACAGCCTCTACGCTCATCAGATGGAACCAAACTCCTGAAGGACCAAAACTCAATTGCACTACGTTGGAAAGAACACTACCAAAGCCTCCTGAACCGCAGCTCCAATGTGGCCGAAGAGGTCCTCTCACAAATCCCACAACAACAAACCAGGGATGAGCTTGCAGCACTGCCCAGTTTGGAAGAAGTCAGCAATGCCATCAGCCAACAGAAGAATAACAAAGCCAGTGGACCAGATGGGATCCCTGCTGAAATCTTTAAAGAGGGAGGACCTGAGCTGACACACCAACTCCACCAGCTCATAGAAAAAGTGTGGCTGACCGAGAAAATCCCAGCAGATTTCAAGGACGCCACCATCATCACCCTCTTCAAAAAAGGGGAAAGAACAGACTGCGGAAACTATCGAGGTATCTCCCTTCTAACCTCCGCTGGGAAAATCCTCGCAAGAATCCTTGCAAACCGCCTTCTGCCCCTCTCAGAAGACACCCTCCCAGAATCCCAGAACGGCTTCCGCCCCTCCAGAGGAACAGTGGACATGATCTTCACTGCACGACAGCTCCAAGAAAAATGCAGGGAACAAAATCAGCCTCTGTACATGGCATTCATCGACCTTGCAAAGGCATTCGACACAGTGAATCGCAGCGCTCTCTGGACCATCCTCCAAAAAATCGGGTGCCCTAACAAATTTGTGAACATCCTGCGGCTCCTCCATGATGACATGATGGCAACAGTCTTGGACAGCAATGGCTCCCAAAGTGACCCATTTAAGGTGGAATCAGGTGTCAAACAGGGATGTGTTATTGCCCCAACTCTATTCTCCATCTTCATCGATATGATACTTCACCTTGTTGATGGGAAGCTTCCCACCGGAGTGGAAATAATCTATCGGACAGATGGCAAGCTATTTAACCTCAGCAGACTGAAAGCCAAAACCAAGGTTACAACAACATCTGTTATAGAACTCCAGTATGCTGATGACAATGTCGTCTGTGCGCATTCAGAAGAAGATCTACAAGCCACTCTAAACACCTTCGCAGAAGCATACGAGAAGCTTGGCCTGTCACTGAACATTGAGAAAACCAAGGTGCTTTTCCAGCAGGCACCAGCCAACCCCTCTCCAATGCCAGTGATACAGCTTAACGGTGTAACATTAGAAAATGTGGACCATTTCCGCTACCTTGGCAGCCACCTCTCCACCAAAGTCAACATTGACGCCGAAATACAACACCGCCTGAGCTCTGCAAGTGCAGCATTTTCCAGAATGAAGCAGAGAGTGTTTGAGGACCGGGACATCCGTAGGGAGACCAAGGTGCTTGTCTATAAAGCTATTGTCCTCCCAACCCTGCTCTATGCCTGTGAGACGTGGACTGTCTACAGACGTCACATGCAACTCCTGGAACGATTCCATCAGCGCTGCCTCCGGAAAATCCTGCAAATCTCCTGGGAAGACAAGCGGACAAACGTCAGTGTGCTGGAAGAAGCAAAGACCACCAGCATTGAAGCGATGGTCCTCCAACATCAACTCCGCTGGGCTGGCCACGTTGTCCGGATGCCTGACCACCGTCTCCCAAAGCAGTTGCTCTACTCCGAACTTAAGAACGGAAAACGGAACGTTGGTGGACAGGAAAAGAGATTTAAAGATGGGCTCAAAGCCAACCTTAAAAACTCTGGCATAGACACTGAGAACTGGGAAGCCCTGGCCCTTGAGCGCTCCAGCTGGAGGTCAGCTGTGACCAGCAGTGCTGCAGAATTTGAGGAGGCACGAGTGGAGGGTGAAAGAGTGAAACGTGCCAGGAGGAAGGCGCGTCAAGCCAACCCCGACCGGGACCGCCTTCCACCTGGAAACCAATGCCCTCACTGCGGAAGAAGATGCAGAGCAAGAATAGGGCTCCACAGCCACATACGGACCCACAAGGAAATCCATAATGGAAGACCATCTTACTCGTACAACGAGGGATCGCCTAAGTAAGTAAGTAAGTAATGACAGACAGACATGGTTAAGCAATTACAATCATAAAATGTGAAATACCTGACAACAAAACAACAAAGGTAACTATGAAATCATCACAAACAAATAATTGTGACTGCTGAAAGAGACTAAGATGGCTAACTATTTAAAATGAAGATTTATTCCTTAAAGACCAAGGCTGAAAAACTAGATGTCCACATAGGGAAACCTAAAGGAACTTCACTTAGACAAGGTGCAGGCATGCAGAGCAAACACCATCTCCTCCACCAAAGTATGTGTCTTTTTTGGGAAAGGCAATTCTATTCAGCTTCTTCCATCATAATGTGAGAATGAACACGACCTTTTCTGAACCTTTGTTAATACAATGTTTCTATTCCTAAAGACTAAGGTCTACTGATAGGGGCAATGGTTCTTTATACATTTTGGGATGATCAAACAGATTATCCACAAGCTCTATCATATACCATTGTGGAAACTGGTGAAATCCAGTTGCTGTGGTGTGTTCTCCCATATTTTTACAAAGCACTTCGCCTGTGGAGAGTCATAAAGTTATAGTAAAATCTTAAAAAACAGGAGTTTAATTAAGAGTGTATTTTGGCCTAGCAACATATGCCACGCCATCAGGTGATGAGGTTTTACACCAATTAAAATATGAGTAGGCCATCAGAGAGTATTAGCCATGCTAAAAGTACCTAAGAAGTACCGAATGCCTCAGGCAAATGTGTCAGGAGTCCATGCCTTGGAATGGCGCATCCTGCCATAACTACTCTGTTTACATGCATTCCTACTGACACACTGACTACCAACAGGCTATAAACAAGTGTCTAGGCCAATGGGTTCAATGGCCCAATTTTGTTGTCAAATCAAAAAGCAGAGAGAGAACTCTTGTCGGTGGAGTAATCCAACTTCCAACACAACTGAGACCAGTCACAAGTTGTGAAGATGTTCCAATGATCAAGAATATGTAGAATACTCTCTCACACATATATCATAATCACCACTATTGTCACCACCATACTTCCTCTTTTCTCTGATGTAAAGAAGGATTTCTCGGCAATATAATTTTGTGAGACAAATATCCATCTTGTCAACTTTTTAGACCCTCAGAACATAATCCCTTCCTTTAAAACTTCAACAGCAGGATGTAACAGGGAGAAATGTTGTTAAGAGCCACAAGATCCTGATCCAATCTTTTGAATACTCAATATAGGTCTGCATCATATATGCTAGTATGTAGGAGACCAGAGTACACAACCCACTTCAAAATGAAGACAAAAATCATAACAAGAAGGTGAAAGAAACTTCAGCACTTCTGGTGTTAACAGAACATGTATTCCACAGATTTCTTTGATGAAATTAACTAAACAGATAAAGTACATCACTGAATGAGGATTTAAAACACCAATAATAAACATTCTTAACAACAAACATCACAAGCGACAACACAACAAGCTTGACTCTGGGGTCTTGTCCGCAGGAAAGAGATGTGTGCCCATGATGCTGTCTTATTTTTAAAGTACACTGTATCCCCCCCC